TTCTTTTGATTGCGGTAGTCGAGTTTTCGACAACACTTAAATCAATAACTCGGAAACCCGACTGGATTCAAGTCGGTTCAAGTCACAGATTTTGATTCAACTTTAAATATATTGTTATAAGTTGTTTTCTACGTTTGAGTTCGCATCTTAATTATTTGGAGGGGGACGATATTTAAAAAAAAACTAAGGCGTATAGTCCAAATCATCTGCCCGGTACTAGATTTTAACGCTCTGGTAGTTAAAGATCAAGTTATTGTTGGTCAAGCAATTAATTTGATGAATCATAAGAAGACAATTTATGGTTCATTCATGGAGTTCTTAGGTCAGTTTGAGTCAATCCAATAAAGGATCTTTATTTTCGAAACCCATTAGAAGAGGCAGTGCAAGAGAAATCATAGAGAAATGATTGAATCTTTGGACGCCCCGAAAATACTATGAGGTGCTCGAAAAATGGTTGAATTCTTAAAATGTGTATAAATATATATATTTTAGAATTTTTTACTTGTCATGCATCATAAATATTTGTACAAAGAAAGTAAAAGTGAATGCATCCGAGCGTATTCCCTTTTCCATGTGAAATGTCAAAGTTGTCAACATCTAAACGTATGATCTATATTATCAAATTGATAGTGTTACATATACAAGTATTGTGCGGTATCCTACCCTTAAGCTTGCTTGCATGCCGATTATTTTGAGCAAGGGAGAAGACCGCCTAGGGGTGTTGGACCTCGAGGACCGCACAGGTGGTTCGCGAAAGTTGGTAGCAAAGCGAGCTTGCTTGAATGTGCGTTGTTGGTTACTGGAGATCATTGACGTGCATTCTTGCGAAAATGATTTTGGGACCTCGGTATATTTGCCAAATGAGATGAAGAAAGCTTTCGGAATGATAGATGATAAAGGTAGGCATTGTGCCAAATAGCTTATGTCATTTGTTGTTTATTTCGTGGAGCGCAGTGAACATTGCAAACGAAATCACAATGATGGACGTGTATTGATGCTTTGATATGCACAGTAGCACTATGACAAAGGCCATCCATCCAATAAACTAATACTTGAGGGGCATATGGTGAAGGTTGGTGTCGGAAACTGTATGTAAAAAGGTATTGCAAGCAGACGTCCAGATATGTGCTATGTGGATGTCCACCCATCAGGGGATGGGCCACAATTGTGAAAGTTCTTCCAATGAGAAAGTTGCGCGATGATGCGAAACTCACTTATTGTTACGAGGTCGTTAGTTGATTGAATGGGGA